TGAAATGTATCCAGAACTACATTGTTCTTGCATGACCATTATTATTTTTTCTTTAATGTTATTTTTATGTTATTGTGTAGTTACTATTTTTCCTTCTTCTGTCTTAAAAAAAAACTCAACTAAAATTATAATAAACATTATTTAAAGTTGAGTGTTTCTCCCCAATCATTTCCATAAATCAAGAATTGCATTTTTTTTGTTTTCTTTTTCAAGCCAAGGATTAGATATAATTTTTGAAGAGTGTTTTGTTTTAAACACATCTTGGGCAAGCGAGAGCAATATTAAAATCTTATTTCCATCCTCCCCCTTTTTTATTTTTCAGCTTGGTTTTAAGCTAATCTTGATTAAATATTGTTAATTTTTCTTTCTGTATGCTATGCCTTTCTGTACGCTATGCCTTTGGTTAATAAGATATTTTTAAAGAACTATTTTATTATTCTCTCAAACTGTTCGCACTAATGATCTTAATATTACTTTCCTTTGACTTCTTTTGAAAAAGTTCCTGCTTGAGGCTGAGTCACCAAAACGTGCGTTCAAATATGTGTTTTTGTGTTATTCTCTGCTTTATTTCTGGCTTTGAATTTACTTGCTTGTGAAAGATACCATACTTGTCTTCATCTCCAGCTTCTTCACTTGTCTGTTAGTCAACGATACATTCTGTTCTTCCAGAAATACTAGTGAGAAAGTAAAGAAACTGCTCCACTGAAATATTTTGCACAGTATAGCATTGGCCTCTGAATGTAGAGGAGCAAGACCCATTGAATTCATGTATAAATGTTCTATTGGTTCTAGGCACTGGTGGGATTCAAATAATTTAACAACCGGTTCTCTGCCCCAAGGATCGGCTGGGTAGTTGTGGCTGGGTGGTCATTTGACTGGGTGTGCATTGCCAATTTGATGTCACTCACATCAAGGGGCACTTCACCCGGTCCCAGCCACTGCTTGTCATGCTCAGCCTCACCTCTCCCGGCCACTCACCTCACCTTCCAGTTTTGGAGTAGCAATTCATAAAGATTTTATGACAAAATAGTTGTCCTTCAGAGTATGTTTATAATCTAGATCGGGGATGGCTAACTTTTTCCAGACTGAGTTCTCAAAGCGCCTGTGTGCACCCAATCCCCCAAAATGCAATGTGTGCACTGCCCCTGTGCATGCAGCGCCCCCATGTGCACCCTGCTCCTACGCATGTGTGCGCAGCCCCCCCCCCACATGTGCAGCACAGACCCACCAACCAGCTGGCCAGTGGGAGGGGTGCATGTATGCACGAACTGGAGCTGAACCAGGGTGATAGGTTCGCCATCATGGGTCTAGATTCACATCTATTTAAAAACAGCACTCAGAAAAGTACCCATTAATGTTACCTTACACACTGAAATAGGAAAACAGGTAGGCTATTGAAGGATCAGCCTGGGCATTATTCTCTTCATCCGTTTTATTAATGACTTGCAGATCATTAATGAAATTTGCAGATGGTGGAAAAGTTGGTGGCATAGTTAGTATCCTAAAAGGCAGGCAGGGAAAAAAATCAATCCTGAAGGGGCTGAAAAGAACATAATGACATTTGAGTCAGACAAGGCAGACTTTGTTACCTAGGAAAAAAGAAACAAATGAACAGGTATGCCATAGATGTTTTTAAATCTATGGATTCTTGTATGGAACTCATGATTTTCTAAACAGCCTCTCCCACTTCTGTAATTCTGGGAAGTTTTAAAACAGAAACACTATACAGCAGTGTTTCTCAACTTTAACTTCAGCTCCCAGTATGTTGTCTGGGGAATTCTAAGAGTTGAAATCCACACATTTGAAAGTTGCTAAGGCTGAGAAGCATTGCAATACAGCAATGGAAATGTGAAGTTCTTGAGTCAATTTAATAATGTTTTTATTATTCTACATAATAATTATGTTTTTATTATTCTACATCATTGCTCAATGTTTCCTGCTTTTAGAGTATTAACATCTTGTTCTTGCAAATATATGTAGAACTTTTAAAATTTCTAAGAAGCTGACAACTGAATATTATTTGAGCAGTCTTCTTTCCAGCCACACTTAACTTCTCATTGTCGTTTTTTTTCTCCATTATTTTTTCTCCATTGACGTCAATGTTCCAATCATTAGAAACACATTGATAAATCTGAAGTCCTAGAAAAATGTCTTACATGATAGCTGAAGACTTATGTAAGATCAAGGGAAACTTATGCTATTAGTGCCCCTAATCTATTTTCTCCACTACAGATTACACTGTATTCCTATTGGCATTTCAAATAAGTATTTAGTGTCAGGGATCCAAGTAATACATCCATAGTGAACAGAACTCCAAGGCAGGTGAATTCCTCAAAGAACTATTTTATTTGGTATATCATATTGACACAGGCTGGTAAAAACTGATTCTGGGTGTTCCACAGTTTTCACCTAACTAAAAGTTTTTCCCTTTCCCCAAACAATCAGTTGCATGATCCAATCAAGGTACCATCCCAGTTTCCTAGTGACATTGTTCCTCCTCTCTCTGGCCATCTGTGAGAATTTCATTGGTTCCCAGGAGAAAGTATTTTGTTTTGGCTATAAACCCCAACTGTCTCTATTCCCCCATCCTTATCCCTCAGCTCCAGTGTGGCAACACTGAAGCCTCAAAATGGTCTCGGTCAAGTCAACTTCAGGGTTGACATTTTTATTGAGATGTTTAAAAAAACCTGGACAAATTATAGTCTTTGTGTTCAATATTGCGTGTTGACTTTTTGTTCATTTTTTTTCTTCCCAGTTAGCTTGAGCCATTCATGGGGCTCCCTGTTACCGCATGTGAATATTCTAATGTTTAGTTTTACAAAGAAATGAAATAACAAGACATACTTTCATTGACCACTTCCTTTAAGGTCCAGTAACTTAAGGCATGATTGTTTTCTGCCTTTTCATTCTTTTGTCATCTTCATGAGTACAGTGAATTTGAGAAAAGAACATCTCACACACTAGAAGAACTACCCGTCTACTAACTTCATGAAACTAGTATAATATGAAACTAGTTCATATAGCACACTTGATGTAATCATAGTTTCTCTTGCACTATTTGGATCTAGTACCACAAAGTCAAGAGAATTTAATTTAGAGAATGTACACTGTTCTCATTTCCTGTCCTACTTCATATTGTATTTTGTGACCCTGGATATGAGGTCCAATTTATAAAGATTACTTCAGCAAATTTTGTAAGTTTGATAGTATTAAGGGTTATTTACAGGGAGTACCTAGAGTAGGCAGAAAAGCTTAACATTTAGCTAGCTAAATTCTATTTGAAGGACAGTTAAGAGAATAATTCCATGTATGGTGTAGTGGTCAAAGCATCAGGCTAAAAACCAGAAGATGGTGAGTTCCATTCCTGCCTTAGGCACAATGCCAGCTGAATAGCTTTGGTGAGCCACTGTTTCTTAGAAGAAAACCACTTCCAAAAAGATTGTCAAGAAAACTGTGAGAACTTGTTTAAACAGCCTCTAAGAATTAGATCGACTTTAAGTTACCATTTTCCTATGTGTGTCTAGAGAACTAAGGCTAGAAGTAAGATCCAAGATTGCAATTTCATAATCAAAGAATGGTCAAAATAAGACATAAAGAGACACTTCAAAAATAAATTCTTAACTTTTTATTCATGCTTCCAATGCCAATGCATTTCATAATCTATCCTTCCTGGACATCCTTTTCAGCAGAGATCACAATGGCAAACTTTCTGCTCACTCACTTCCCGGTCTCTCACCCCACCTCCAGGCTGTTTGCTTGCCTGGCCTTCCAAAGTGGGGAGAAGGGCACTTTCTTTGATGGCTGACCCAGGAGAAGAGCCCCTTCTCTTGGCTGCCATTACATCATAAGCCTTCTTCCCCTTCTTCTCCAGGACAAGCAAAGCCTAAGGGGTGAGTGACTTGGAGACAAAGTGGGCAGCAAAGAATTACCCATTCAGCAGGCTACCCCAATCCTCCTGAGGCTGAAGCCATGAGGGAGGGAGAAAGGAGCATGCCCAAAAGGTTGGAGAGCTTCAATTAATGACTGAATTAGTGCATGGCCACCTGGAGCTGGCAGCGACTTGGACTCGGGAGGGCTCCCACACAGGCAAGCTCCGGTATTACTGCGGTGTGGGTGCTCTCAAGAGTGGTGGCGATCTTGGATGAGCACTGGCTGTGGGGACAGAATCCCAGGAGAAGCATGTACCTCGGAGAAAGTGGGGGGGAAAAGGAGGTGGGAAGCCCAAGCACACAGTTTCTCTTCTCCCGTGGCAGCTGTACCCCACAGCCCTACACTGCAAGTTCCATGGCTGGAACTGAGAGACAAGGAGTGCAGCGCTGCTCCTCAGACAGCATATTCATTTTCCTTCCTCGGCGGGAATTGACTATTCAGACTCTTAAGCACGGGGGGAAGATATGCGGGGGAGACACTGCCATGGATGGAGAAAGTGGCACCGTAACCTACCTGGCTGGTTGTATTGCTTCCCTAAAACCATGATGATGCCACTACCACCAACACCCCTCCTCCTCTTCCTGATCTTGCAACTTGCCAAGAATGCAATCGGGAGTTGCTCAGTTGAATATTCATCTCAGAGCGGATGAGGCAGCTTATGATATTGGGAGGATGGAGCGAGCAAGGAGCAGGAAACAATCATGTCCCAGATGAGGTGGAGGTTTGGCTTGGGGAGGAACTGTGCAAGTCACAAATTAGCCACTTGTGTGTGCAAGAGGCAAAGAGTGACTGGGCGGGGAGGGCATGGCATGGCAAGATTTAGCTGAACCAATGTGAACCAGCTGAATCCCATCACTGGTTCTATGGCTACTAGAAGTTAGTTCTATTCCTAGCTTACAGGTGAAACTCAAAAAATGAAAATATTGTGCAAAAGTTCATTTATTTCAGTAATGCAACTTAAAAGGTGAACCTAATATATGAGATAGACTCATTACATGCAAAGCAAGATAGTTCAAGCCGTGATGTGGCATAATTGAGATGATTATGGCTTACAGCTCATGAAAACAGTGGATTTTAATTTCAAATCAATAACTTTAATTGCAATCTTGAAACAAAATGTTTATAAGCAGATAAATCAGATTAGTCAACCATTCTTTATTTTGATCAATCACCAAAGATAAATCAAACTGTCTGATCAGCAAAGATCTTCTAAGTCAATATTCTTTAAGGATAGATAACCTATATCCTCCATAAGTTTTACATTACAATTCCCATCATTTCCATTAATGGACTTCTAACTTGCATTGAAGGGAATAGCAGTTCTAATCAGTTGAAATGACCACTAGTAGACTAAGCCACCAACTAAATAAATATTTGTCATTATTTATAAAGTGCTTTTTATAAGCATCAAAGAATCATTTATGCATATAGCATTTCAAATTATGTAATAAAGAATTAAAATATTTACAGTTCTGAAAATGTACAATTAAATAAACATGAATAAAGCAGCCACAAACCAAACTACAGAAAATGTACACATATACAAATGTGGACAGGCACACACGCGCACACACACACACACACACACACACACACACACACATACACACATTGACACACACAAACTCCTCTCTAATTTCCTCTGTATAAAACTCTTTCCAGTTCAGCTTCCAAGATTTCTCCCCAGGTATCCACATCCATAGGATACATACATTTCTCTGGTAAATTAGTCCATGACTGAATATTGCTATATTTTCCACTCAGCCATTCATACTTTACTTTGCTTTTCCAGTAGTTTCTATGAAGCGTGACCTGATAAAAGCAATTAGAGAATAGGAAAGAGATATAAATAAAGGTACAAAACATATTCTTATGGATAAAAAGCCTTATTTTGCAAGCAATTCTATAATTAGTGTGTGTGTGGGGGGAATCAATTCATCTTCGTAAAAGATGGCTTCAAGCCAGATTATTCCAATTTTTCACATGTGAGATTAAGAATTTTACATGAGATTAAGAATAATTTCACTATGTGAAAATTCTGTAAATTCCTTTCATTAGAAAAGACATATCTAATCCTATCATATAGTTTTTGTGTTTGAATTGCAAGTTTTTTGAAACCAATATTTTAAGGATGATTTATTCTAGGGGAAAAATTAGAATAGACTTCTAATGTATTGCTGCCCACTAGTGATCCATGGAAATTATTACATACTAGAAGATTCAGAGCTTAAACCATTAATGTTACAACCAATTATGTTTACTGAATATTTTTATATATATAAAAAGAAAAAGTAGTTTAAGTGGAAGTGGATTAGATTAAAGAAATGGAGAGTCAGATGAAGAGCTTCATTCTTTTTCTTCTGGACCTAATCACATCACCAGCCAAAAGGTCTTTTCCCTTTTTTTTATATCACAGTATATATTCATTATATTTAATAATGAACCTTGACAGCCTTGACAGCGGATTCTGCTAGGCCTTTTATTACATACCTTGAGACCCTTAGGAAAATACTGTTACATTTTGATAGTAAAATGACAGTTTTAGACATTGCAATTTGTCACTGTTGATTTAAGATATACTGTAAAATAGATATGTTAAATAGTTATATGGATTTTTGATCTATAGTGGTTGCCAATTGCTTACTAGACATAATTTAAGGTGCAAAATCTTAAAAGCAATTGCTTACAGAAATATATCGTCTTGTCATCTTTCTTTCTAGTTTTGTCAAAAAATAAGGTAAGTAACATAGTCTTAAATTACAGATCAACCTGTCAAGTAAAAACCCTAAACTGTGCCAAAAGACTTAGTGCATGAGATATCAGATCTGGATATAAGAGATCATAATAAAATCAAGCCTCAATTAAACTTACCTTCCATGAATACCCTTTTCCTCTGTCATCATCAACCTCTCGCTGACAGACAGCTCTTATATTTAAACAGTGGTGTTTCCATAAATCATCACAATGTTCAATGGTTTGGTTCCAGCTCTTGCAAGTTACTGCAGCATTGCATAAGCTGTGAATGTCAAGTTTGCTAAAAATCTTTAAGCTGACTTCTAGTGGAAATAGTTTCACAAAATCCCCTTGACTGTTGTGTTTCCTCTGTTTGGAAAATTTAAAGAATAATTTCTTACAAGTAGTTGTTGCAACAGTCTGCTGGTTTTGTTTGGATGATTTCTGTTTAGATCCTTTTTTCATAGTTTAGACTTTGTTTAAATACCAGTCAGCCTTTCTGAAAAGAAAAGTATCAGAAATGAAACTGTAACCAACTGTTTAGAAACATTTGCTGCCACTTAATGTCATTAAAACACGATTTCTGCCTAATATCAGTGCTAAAATATCTCTTTGTATATAGTGACCATGAGCACAATAATTTGGGGAATTTTGGCTTTAATATTACTGCTTAATTGTTTCCTCTGAATGATACCTTGCCTTTCTTAAGGAACATACTGTATAGATATGTGAGTGTATGTGTGTGTCCATACAGGCATACATATTTTTTTCTATTCAGTTAAAGTGGAGCATCTTGAAGTGATACACTAACTGAAAAGTAGCAATTATGAAGAGACAAGTTTTCCAATTTGAGCCAAAGGAAATAATTGCTCTCAGATTTTTGCACATACAATACATGCATCTGCCATATGAAACAATTAAATTTACTGTACTGCTTCAGTGTGAATATGAACCTGGAAAAAAGGGCAGGCTACAAATCTAATATATATTATTACTTTATTAATATACGTTACTTTAATATGCATTATTAATACATTATTACTATTTATTACTAATACACATTATTATTACTCTATTCAGTTTCAACTTACATTTGTTTGTTGCTTGAAAGCTGGACAAAAGTTTCTATAATTGTTTTGACAGCCAGGCCTGAGGAGCTGTCCACTTGAAAGGAAGCTATTCCTCTGAGTAGCGTGGAACACAATCTCACTGGCAGACAATAAGGGCCCCTTAGGATGATTGATTTACCTGAAGGTAAGGATACATTCATGGTCTACCCATCTATCAAACGTGTATATTTAGTTATTAATTGGTTAATTTTACACCCTGACTTTTCTTCCAGAACTGAAGAAAGGAAAAATAAAGATCACCATGGTTACATGGTGATCTTTATTTTTTCAAAAGAACCTTGTAAGGTAGGCTGGGTTAAGACCAATTGGCCCCAAGCAACTGGCAGAGAATAGATTTGCAATTGGGTCTCCCAAGACAAGTTTAACACTCCATTGTAAGTCAATGATTCTACATTATGACTGTAGACAAGACCCATAAAAGTGATGAGTCATGATCAGAATCTAAAGATATATGACAGAATAGTATAGATGGGATAGGTGGTGTCTACATATTTATATGTAAAAAAACCTTGTTTTTCAATAACTATGATTCTTAAAGTTTTGAATGTTCATAGTTTTAAATGACTTCTGCTTCCTACATAAAGCTCACAGCCTGACAAGAATGGTTTGATTTCTTCTGCTACTGTAGCTTGACAAATTTGGCAGGGTGGTTGGGAGGAAAATTTAAGTGATGCTGTCAATGATCTTGAGCCATTCTTCTAAAAAATAAAGAGAGACAGACTTTGCCCATCAACTAGCTAAAATACTTCTTGTTATTTCCCCTCAAAAATGCCCCTTAAGGCTTTTGCAGCAAGATGGTGAAAGGGGAAAAATCCACAAAAGCCTGGAATGGTCTGGTGGGGCTGATACTGTGTTGTAACCTGGTATTTCAACATGGGGGGGAGGCGGGGGCGAATGTATGAGTACAGAAACATGGCAAGAGGGGTTGATTTAGTAATAAGCTAAGAAGCTGAAGGTTTTATGTAAGTGTAAATAAGTTTCACCTGGCAACAAAAGAATTAGCAGTTGTTTTGCACAGTCACCCAAATAAGCAGTCCTTTAATATTAAATGTAATATGAAATGAAAATATTAAAGATGTAAGTACTGGAGTACTTGACTACTGTTTCCCTAGGATTTAAAATTGGATGGCTTTAAATCATTTGGGGGGGGGGGGTTCAATGCAAAGCAATTAACAATGTAAACTTCATAATTGAAATGGATCAAAAACTATGTTTCTCTCTTCAGGAATTAGTGACTTTGAATAGAGTCTTGAGGATTTTTTCTAGAATATATTTTTTTAAAGTATTGAACCTTACCAGTCATCAAACTTGCATACATCTCAAATAAAAATTCCACACATTGAATTAGAATAAAAAATACAATCAAATTAAACACACTAATTAGCTCCCTCCTGAAACATGTAGTTTTTTTTATTTGCACAGTTGCAGCTGGGATGTAATAAAAATTGAATATATATGTAGCTTAAGGAGGAACTGTGGAGTCCTTAGTGCTCCCAGAAGTTTTATTGTTCACAGGATGGGTTGTTTTTGTGGGTGCATATACATGTTAGGAATGGCAAACTTTAAAGAGACTATTGTAGTTCAGGATTGAAATGAGGGGTCCTTGATGCTCTCTGAGCTTGTTTTCTTGCAGACGTTTCATTATCCAAACTAGGTAACATCATCATGCTGGTTCGTTGAGCAATGAAACGTCTGCAAGAAACAACCAAGCTCAGAGAGCACCAAGAATCCCTCATTTCAACACTGAGCTACAAATATTTTCCTTTATTGGATGGAGAGATTGCACATCTCTGTTCTCAAGCAGGTTTGGGGAAATTTTGGTGTTCCAGAAACCCCAGTAACCTCAGCCAGCTGGAGAGGAAGTATTTTGGTAACATTTGGAGGGTCACGGGGTTGGACTTGATATTGTCACTTTTAAAAGTTAGATAAATGTAATCCTATATCAATATCTGTTTGGCAATTCATATTCTATAAAACATCTGTTTTCTTAAGGAGCACCAAGGGCCCCCTCATGGCGAACTTTGCATATTATGACGGGACACTTGTGCACTTTCCACATCAGCACTATCTAATTTTACGAAACTGAAAGGAATTCGCCTGAGAATGTACGTCAACATATTTCCACAACCTCCTCGAGCCACCTTTTTTCCCTATGACAGCTGAAAACCGCACCCCTTGCCGCCGCTATTTAACTGCCCCGCTCCGCCCTGTTCAGTGATTGGGTGGAATCGCGACGTCACAGAAGAACGCAGGAGGCTCGAGGCCGCTCACCTGGCTCCCGGCCCTCCGCTCCCGCTAACGGTTTTAACGGCTTCTCCATTCGAATTTGTTTTTTGTTTACTTCTTCTTTGTTGTTGTTCCTTCCCCATTACAAATTACGTAACTAGAGGTTCCCGAACCACCCGCCTTTGCCGATAAGCATTTCGGGAGCTGTAGTTTAGTGGCGAGGCAGGAATTTCCGTAGTGGATTTGTGGCGCGGTAATGGGTGTGTTTCTCTTAAAAGGCAGCGAGCTATTGGTTACACCGGAATGGTATGCTTCCGTTCAAGCAGATAGGAGGGATATATATATAAGAAGGGACGGTACGTTGCTGTGTTTACTTCCCCCTTGTGGAATCTTGCAGGGGGGGGGGGGGGGGGAAGTGCGGGGGGCCTGTTTTCTTTTTGGGGTTTCAATTAGTGCCAGTGGACGGGGGTTGCCCTTTGCCGCTCGGGGAGACAGTGAGAGGAAGAGGCTCGTTTTTGGGAGGAAGCGCCTCAGCGGCGCACCAAAAGAGTGCCAGTTTGTCTAAATATGCTTGTGTAGTTGGTTGAGAGGACCAACGGCACTGGCAGCAAGTTCGCGAGCAACCCATTTTTGGGCAAATGAAGGAGAGATATGTATTTCCTTTACAGACCGTCCGGTCGCGAAGTTTCCTTCCTTCCAAGACGGCTCTTTGCCCAAACAAATTTGGGTACTTTTTAACCTTGATGGAGGCTATTCAAGATTTTTGGCGTGCTTTTACCGAATCTGTTACAGCGTCCTTTACCTGGTCGTGCATTCAAAGCAACTTGCTGGACCAATGAGCCCGCCCCATCAGTCTATTAGGGCTTGTCTTTTTCAAAAGCTTGGTAAATTGAAACCATTAAATCGGTAAGATTTAATGGACTTCGTTTGCAAGCTAACAAGGAAAAAAAATAACACGTAAAGGTGGAAAAGCTAAAAGAAGCAATGTTGCTTGGTTGCTTGCATACATAAGAGTATGGTTAGAGGACTCTAGATCATTGCACCAGACCTTATATGCACATTGTAATTTATATGTTGAATACATGCATTTTATCCCCATTGAGCAGGGCAATACTCCTAGAGCATCTGATAACTTTAGTGTAGCTTGTATTGTGGTTTGGTTGATATTAGAAGAGTTATTTGGGATTCCAACTTGAGCTGGGGTTTGATTGAGGTGCTCTTGCCCAAGGCTTTGATCCTGAGGTCATTTAAAAATTGGAAAGGAAAATTTCCCTCTGATATGTAGTTTCCTTTCTGGATGAAGATATATTATGAGAGAATATGATTTCTTCCTTTATCTTGAGAGGATTACATAGCACTTGATTGCAAAATGCAAGCCCTGGATCCAGTAGCAGTTCAGCCATAAAGTTTGCTGGAGGTTCACCAGTTGGTAGCCATCTTTTAAGTCTAATGTCTAAGCCAGGCTTGTCCAACCCGCGGCCCACGGGCCGCATGCAGCCCAGGTCGCCTCGTAATGCGGCCCAGTGCCCACCCCAACCTTCGTGCCAGAGCCAGCGAGGTGGAGGAGGAGAGGCAGGCGCAAGGTGGGGCGAGGCGAGCGCCAGACCAAGCAGCAAGAGAAAAGGCGGGTGCCGTCAGAGCACCACCTCCTGCTGTTGCCACCGCCCCCGCCGCCGCTTCTGCCCCCGTCGCTGCCGCTTCTTCCCCCGCCACCGCTGCTGCCCTGCCGCCGCCACCCCCGCCGCCGCCATCGTTTCTGCCCCCGCCGCCGCTTCTTCCCCCGCCACCGCTGCTGCTTCTTCCACCGCCGCTTCTGCCCCCGCCGCCGCTTCTGGCCCCGCCGCCACTTCTGCCCCCACTGCTGCTTCTGCCCCTGCCGCCGCCGCTTCTTCCCCGCTGCTGCTTCTGCCCCCGCCGCCGCTTCTTCCCCCACCACCGCGGCTGCTTCTGCCGCTTCTGCCCCCACCGCCACTTCTGCCCCCGCTGCTGCTTCTGCCCCCGCCGCCGATAAAAAAAACGTGATAAAAAAATAAATAATTTTTAATAAATAATTAATAATAAATAATAAAAACATCTCACTAACTTCATTTCCAAATAAATTTAATATGTTAACTATGTTTTCTATGGTTTTTCTGGATGATCAGGTATCGTTACTGTTATTTTATTTTATGTGCGGCCCAAACCAAATTTTCATCTTCTAATGTGGCCCAGGGAAGGTGAAAGGTTGGACACCCCTGGTCTAAGCCTTAGACTCTAAGGAGCAAGAAGTAAAGATTCTAGAGCTGAATGTAAATACTCTTCCCAGAAATCTCTGGTGCTATGCAAATACAACCGGTGACTCTGCTCCTAGGTGCCTACTTTGCTCCACTTGACAAAATCTTAGTTTTTGTGAACTGAGCTGCCAGGAACCTCTGGTGCTATGCAAATGCAACCAGTGACTCTGTTTTTATAGTAATTTTATTAAAGTGTATAATTGCAATAGTAAATTCGAAAGAAAAAAAAGAAAAATATTAGTGTAGATACTAAAAAAGGGAAAATAGAAGAAAAATAGAAAAACCATGTATGTAGCAAAGAAAAAGTATACAAGTAGTGTCCTTTCAAAACTTGAGCCTGGATTTGAGCCTAGAGTTTTGAACCAGCATGAGACCCTTACTATCTTGTCTCCTTGTGAGGAACAGCAGTCTGAAGTATTAACCAGAGTTCTCAAGACACTTGCCGCTTCTTCATTCCACTTAAGTCATCATTTTCAGTCCATCTTTTCTTCAACCACAAGCCTTTTGTTTCATTCTCTTTGAATTTGTACCTTCTAATTTGCAGATTACAGTTTACTTTCGGTAGTTGAAAGAAGACTCATACTGATAAGCTGTGTGTTTGAGTACATATATTGTATTTTCCACTAGAGGTCACAATATGCAAGCTGTGTAGGAATCTCTGTCCCACAATTAATTGTACTTCTTGAAGTACATATTTTGTATTATAATTATGTATTATAACATACTTGAAATTATAATTATGTTCACTATTTTCTTTTTAGTTTAATAATGGTTTTTCCAGTTACTTAGATTTGTGTAAATCTAAGTGGATGACTACAATAAAAGAAATGACATACAACATATTTTTGTGTTCAGATTTTATGGATCACAGTTGAAATCATTTAGGAGTAATGTCGTTTCATGCTTGTATTTTGATCCATCAGCCATGATGTTGTATAAATGGACCAAAAAAGGACAAGGCTTCTGTATCTTTAATAGGAGTGCACAAATGAATTTACTTAAATATTGTTTGCATGATTATACATATCTTCTGAAGCTCCAATTCTGAATTGCTGTTAAGGTGGAAGAGCTCTGTCTTTAGTTTTTCACTATTTTATAGTGAATATAGATTTAGAAAGTAAATGGAGATAGGTTTTTTTCCCTTTCTCTCTGTCTTAATGTGAATATATATTTAAATTAGCTCTTTTCTTAATTGGATATCTTAATTGGTATTTGGCATGAGTTGCTATGCATATTTTACTGTTTGTAAAAGGATGAACAGAATGTTTACAGGTAACAGTATTTTCATAGATAAAACTAAAGAATTTCTCTTTGAAAGAGATAGCTTATTTATACAATACTTTTCTCATCCTATTCTCTGCTGCAAAATAATTGAATTGCCTATTTCCAGGTTACAGAAAAAAAAGTTTCCAGGAAGCATATGATATTCTGAAAATAGTTGGTGACCAGCTTAGCATCAAACTGGTGGGTAGTGTTTGCTGTTTTTCCATGTAAAATTAAAAGAAAAATCTAAGTTTTGTACAACTTATTCTAATATTGACTATCTCTTTCATTTTTAGTCTTACATTGAAATAGGTTAAAATGGTAGAATTCAATATATATACATTTATATATAGATATTCAGGATTAAAAAATAGAAAATACTTTTTCAGAATATACTTTTAAATCTGTTTTGTATTTAATAACTAAAATACAATCTGAATGTAAGTAATCCCTGATTTGGTTCACATGTTGCAAGCCATTGGTTGTTCAGAAGGCTTGAATCGATCAGAGATAGAATGCAACTATATGTTGCTCTCCTGTTATCACATCATTTCTGCAAATATATTTTCTGAAGCTCACACATTGATACAATATTGTGCCAACCCAGGAAAAACTATGTTTCCTTTAAAGAGCTGCAAACGTACCGAAAAAAATATCTGCACTAGATCTAAAGCACTTTTATTTATTTTATTCTTTTAGTTCACATACTATAACGACCAACAGGCTGGCCAATTATATTTGCACCTACCATGATATAACACCTGAGCCTAACTTTTATTTAAGAATCAATTACTACTACTGTTAAAGGAGCTACATATTTTTCTAGGCTTACATAGTTGAAAAGAGAAATGGCTATTGAAATGAACAACAGAGAGGGGCAGTGCTGTGTTTCAAAATACAATCAGCCATTACTTCAAATTTCTCTTTTCATTTCCTAAGGATTTAGTGAATATATTTGTGAGGTAGGATTGAAAGAACAGCTATTTATCTTCAGTAATCCAATAGTCTAGTTTCCTTGTTTCCATTGTAGCTTGGGCATTCATGGTGGGTGAAAAACATTTATACATGTGTCATGATGTCAGCAAGAAAATGTTCTGATTTGCATAAATGTTCTGGTTTTTGTTATATAATAGTGCCATTAGTGCAAAATAATCATTTGACATCACCATGGCTTATGATCATTATTGTTCAGCTCCCCACAAGGGAGCTGAACTTCTCTGTAGTGGCATTTGTCAGAAATGTAAATTGATGGAAATACCTCATGCAAGGAATTTCTTGATCCTGTACTAGTAAACCTTATTTGTGGTCTGAATGCAATTAATATATAAGAAGCATTTTCTCACTGTAGTTTAAAATAATTATCTCCCAGAATAAACTGCATTATAATGGAATCAGTGCACAGTGATTAAGTCTATTAAGTCCTACCAGGTCTTCACTGATAATCTATACTAAAAGTCTTTTTAATTGGTAGGTCCATGTGAATCCTTGTTTTTATTGGCCTGTTGAAGATGACCAACTATTTCCATTGGACAGAGATAAGTGGCATCAATTGTGTTCAGGTGAGAGTTTTTCTCTGTTGGTAGACAAATACACCTTCAAGGTTCTGTGTATTCCACTGGAAAAGGAAAATCTGCTAAGGTAATGAGATTTAATGTTGAAAATATGTTTCAGTGTCAAATTGCCTCTTACAATGTACTCTATGCAGTATGTTAAATGAGTCAAATTAAGTTTGACTCATTATAGTAAGTGGTAGCTAAGTAAATTATGCTATTTATCCCAGGTTAGCTGTAATTGCAGGTATTATTCCTTCTCCACAAAAAAATTAAGATGAATCCTGTTACAATTGTACATATGCAAAGTGTAATTAGAGAGTTTGATACATATACATATAAATATACTAATATTTTAAATATTTGATCTTGTTAGATAACGGAAACATCTTTTTTTTTTCAAAATGACAAAAAGTAATGAAAATTGTAATGACAGAGTTCAAGGACAACACTACAGCAAACTTTTTTTTTAATAAATTTTTATCGGTTGTTAAAACAAACAAACAAACAAAACATAAAAACATCAAATCATCTTCCATATATGTACATACAGTGTGCTGGTTGGTTTACAAATTGTTTTGTGCTTCCATTTCATAGTCTTCAATTATAATTACATTGTATATAATCTTGTATTTTCAATCAATATATTAAATATATTAATATCATTATTAATCATTTGACTATACTTTTATTCATTCATGTTTTCCAAAATGATCATATTTTACTTAATTTGTTTTATGACAATTCAGATTATCCCAGATCTATCCTAGAATCATTTTGTAGATATAATAAGAAAATAATAGATCTTTATATATTTATTATTTTCTAAAAGTCTACATATTTCATTACTATATTTTATTGTCTAACCATTGATAGAATAGATCCCAAATTTTATAAAATTGTTTATCATCTTGTTCTCTAATTTCAAATGTCAATCTACTTATTTCAGCACATTCCAATATTTTCTTAATGATTTCCTCCTGGGATAGTATTTTCTAATTTTTCCAGTTTTTAGCAAATACAATCCTAGCCACTGTTAATACATTTATGATCAGGTATTTCAAGTCTTTACTATATATTTCAGGTAAAATTCCCAATAAAAACATTTCTGGTTTCAAATCTATATGCCTTTTTGTCATTTTTTCCAATCACGTGTGGATTTTAGTCCAGTATTTTTTAGCATCCACACAAGTCCACCACATATGGTAATATGAGCCAGGTATCTGATGACATTTCCAACATTTTTCAGATTTATCCTTGAAAATTCTTGCTATTCTTGTTGTGGGGAAATGCCACCTGTAAAATAATATAATGCCACCTTTCCCCTGACAAGAATAGCAAGAATGTTCAAGAATAAATCCGACTACAGCAAACTTCTGTGTAGTATTTCAGAGCAAAAGATTGTTTTTTTGGTCAGAAGTTCATTCCAGATGTAGAATGAAGTAGGAACATTAACTTTACTAAAATAGCAGGGAGTAAATACCTTAAATTTATAGGGCATTAAATTAATAGCATTTAATAATAAAATAATAATAATGTCTTTATTGATTAGCCCTTGGGCCATATCAAAGTGCAAAGTTCCAGCAACAATTTGTTACTAAAATTTAATAAAAGCAATTCAGAATGAAATTTAATAAAATACTATTTAAAATGGAACTTGATAAAATACAATTTAAAATGGAATCTAGACAAAATACGATTTAAGATGAAATAGTAATAAAATATAATCCAAAATAAAATTGTAATAATGTACAATAATTTAAGATATGGATAAAATATAATAACATTATATTTCAGAGTCGCCCTTGCAATCTACCCCAATCAATCCCACATATGCAGATCTCAACCGAATCATTTTGTTTAAATACTGTGCTACTTTAAATGTTATTTTCAAGTTCTGGCCAGACATAAGGTAAGTTATTTTGATATGGGTATCCCAATGGGTCATTCGTCTGATATATAGACCAAGATAGCTGTCTCTCATCCTCTTATACAGGCAACAATCAAATAGGATGTGAGCCAGGTCCTCTACCTCTGCTACTCCACAAATGCAGAGACGCTCATTGTACGTTATTGCATGAAATCTCCCGTATCTAACCATTGTGTCAAGCTGTTCAAATCTCGCTCTCGTGAATATCTAGATGTTTTGGGAGTTGTGACTTCAAGTAGCTATCTATGTGGAAAGTGCATTGGTATTTACTCAACCATTTCAAGTTACCTACCTTACTAAGGATAGCGGTATCAGTTTGTGCATCTATATCCTCAGTTCTTTGGGCAACTCTTTTTTTTAGATTGTTCTTCTGTTACACAAGAGATAGGAAGACCACAGTTTCTTACAAAATTTGTTAGTTTAATGATCCAGGAGGTTTGTAATTGTAGTTTTATTTGCTCTAGTAGGCATAATTTGGGTAGTCTTATCTCCTTTTCTGAGACTGGTGGCCAAGCGGGGAAGTTCTAGGGTTTATTAAATCACTATTTAAAGATAATTTCTTTACTAGTTCGGTGGAGGCAAACAAGCACTGATAATAATTCTCCCAATCCTCAGCAGAGATTGGTTTGTCAAATGCAAATCTCCGTTCCTTCAGGATACCTGCTACAGAATGCCAAAATAATACTGAGTTATGGCTTCTGGCAGCCAACTCAAGTTCTGACCAGATTGAAATGGCAAATCTTTTTTTCTTTAATGTTATAGTTTTTTTATATTCCCTTCTTGTGTGCAACATCTTAGCTTGTATATAGGCAGTAGGGTTCCTCTGGGCAAGCCTTATGGCTGCCTTCAATTTCTTTTTCAGTCGCTGGCAATCCGAATCAAACCAGTGAGGTCTACCCACTTGGGCTCTTTTTGTAGCAGGTTTAGTTGTTAGATGTTTCTTCAGTATGTTACAAAGATTGGAGAATGCATTGTAGGCTGACATCCAGTCAGTAGTAGATGACTGGATTGTTCTAGCCCACTTAATAGCATTCTCTGTTTTAAGGCATTCTAATATTGCCTTAGTATCATCCTTAGCCCAAATTAACCTTTTATTTTGGGTCACTTCTACCTTTTTAGTAAGCTATCTGTCAGCCATGTTATATGGTCTTAAATCTGAGCGGCCTCGCAATGTCACACTTATAGGCTGATGTCACTGTTGTCGCTAAGGTGTACTGTGACCTCCGAAAAGAGGTCAACCTTATCTCCAGACACACAAAAGAGATCCATGAATTAGTTGAGTGGTGTGTATAAGGGTATATGTAATTCTTATCCTTATCTCCCAAAATTTGGAGATTACCCAATAATTAAGGAGACTAGGAGCAAACCAGCGGCATTACTTTTACAATCTCACGAGAGCCACTGAGGATGGTTTTCAAAGAACTCCCCTGGGATTCCCTTCTTCTGGGCAAGCTCATACAAAGAGGGACCCAGTCTAGCATTCAGATCTCTTAATAAAACCACTATTGACTGAGGATACAGTATTGCTATATCTTCTAGGATAACTTCCAAGCACATCCAATATTCGGAATTATAATACTGGGATGTGCTTGGGGGAATATATACATTTACCAATATTAACTCAAACTGGTCATATTCAAATTTAACAGCCAGAAAGTACGGATATTTATCTTCGTTATATAATTTCTCTCCCTGCCTCTTGCTTTATAAGAATGCATAGTCCACTAGAGGGTCTCCCTTTGTTTTTTGAGCTGGGGAGGCCCATCCCTGAAAGCCTGGCAGTTGTACTGGTTCGTCCACTTCGGTTTGCCAAGTTTCTTGAAGGGCTATTACGTCAAATCTAGAGAAAAAGTTCATTAGTCCACTATCATCTGTCCCTTTCCAGACCGCTATATTCCAGGTCACCAACTGTATGGGGTTCTCAGAAGCAAGATGATCTGGCTTGGTTAATTGGCTGGATGGTAAAGATGTCAATTTGACATTGGAGCCAGATCAATATCATCTAAGCTTCCCCTATAAACACAATTGTTGTGAGGTTCAATATTTCTCCTCATGGGTTGCAGAACTTGTTGCTCCTCTGTATCTCAGTTGCCAGTATGCCTTTGCTCTTGCTCCAAGAATGATTTTTTTCCCCCAGTGGGCAGGTACTCTGGTTTAAATCTATAAATGTAGATTTATGTCCATTTATGGAGTGGCATAACTGAGGATTCATCTTGTGGAAAGCTGTTATGGGAGCTTCTAAATTATTTGAAGATGGAAGCTGGGTTATCTCCTTAGTGATTGTCAGCTTAGGGGGCACTGTGTGATGAAGCTCTTTGTCTTTCAGTTGTTTCTCAGAGGTTGGGTCAGTCAGTGCAGTTACCCCCCAGTCAGCCTGTGTGACAGTACCTTCTTTTACTGTTAAGGTAGAGGCAGTTTGTTGATTAAATACATTGTCACAAGATTGTGTGGTTAGTGGAGCCAAATTAAATAGAGGCTTTGTTGTAGATCGAGTTGTTGTCAATGCCTCTTTTAGGTCATCCAATCTTTGAATGATGTTAACTTGCTCAGGTTCTGACAATGCACTGAATAAGTCAATCAATGTTTCCTCTGGGACATCCTCAGCAGTTCCTACAGCTGTGGGTAACACAGTTTGTATATTGCTTTTTTGCCTTCTTGGGGTCAGTTCAGTTGCAGCAGCCTCAGGTTTAGCAATGTGAGAACTGTTGCAACCTAGATTTTTTTAAAATAAATTTTTATTGATTTTACAATTAAAACAGACCAACCACACACACATAAATGTAAGAGAGAAAAAGAAAAGAAGAAAGGAAGAAGAAAATAGAAAGAAAAAGATAGAAAACAATTAAAAAGCAACCTAGATTTAAAGCAACAGTTCCCACTTGGTGATGCTGTTTCAGGAGCAGGTATACTTTTTCTGTGCAAAAAACCCTTATTGGAAATATTGACAAGGTGCTCAGAAAGAGCTTCATTCGGAAAAGCATGGGAGGGTATTGTGGATTGCTTGAAGGATAGGAGAATTCTCATACATTGCATTCTTGCTGGCAGCCACTCTGCATGGAGTAAATCTATCAGAGTGAGCTTACAATGGAGCAGCTGGCTCAGGGACAGCCTAATAGCTTTTCTATTCCTCCAACACCCTCTATTTACTCTCTTGTCTTAAATTTGCAAGGTAACCAACCTGATTAGTTTGCAGACTGTAGTGTTGGTCATCTCTTAGGCCTATACCTGATTGAGTGTTTTCTCTATGTGTGTTCAAATTTTGGGGAGGAAAACGAGGTCCTTCACTAGTTTCATTTTCTGAGTTAGCCGTTCCATATCTATCCATGGTTATCCTCCCAAGTCCTTCTATAGTATTTGAGTGGCTCCTAACAAACGTTGCAAAAGATTCTTTCAGGCAAATCGACCTTATTTATGACAATTGACAAAAGACCATATATTGAGTTTACAGTTTGAGCTGTAAGCAAACATCGTCTAGAGAGGAAGTCTGTCACATTTTCCTTCTTTAAATTTGTTACATCTCCCCCCTGCGCAAAGAAGGCTGTTGCTGGGCTCCAAGAACAGGAGCCACCCTCCGAGAGGGAGGAGGACAGCTCTACACACCAGTTCGGTTTGTAAGTCCCTTTCTAATGAATCACATAAATTAAGTTTGTCTGACAAGGTGCCTGTGAATGAGTTACTCACTGGAACAGACTGTCTGTTTGCAATATAATCTTCTATTTTCTTCTGCTTCAAAGGCTGGGATAAACACTCTGCTGCAGAGTTCTGTCTCTTCCTTCTTTTCCCCATTTTTACTTATTTTTCTCCTGTCTATTTGTATTTGTTTTGTACTTAAAAAAAAAAAAGATATTGTAGCACTTGTGTACCATGCCTATTATCATGGGAAAACTACCAGAAGTTTATATAGCATATAGATTCATTACATTGTATTGTACAAATTCTTTAAAAGGTGTTCTTTGGAACAGGCAGGAGCAAATATGAAGCAAATCCTCCATTGTTATAATTTCCTGGCTTCCATAGCTGCTATGAAGCAACTTCCAGCTGTCCTTCTATGCATGGAGAACCACTTTGTTGAACAGCAACAATGGGATCAGCTTTCCATGCAACAAACTAGACTGGAAAAAGATACAGTTCTTTTAAGAGTAAAGAAAAAAAGCTTCTTGTAGATGCTGTTTTGATTCCAAGACACTTATATTGAAAGATTTGCACATATGTTTAATGCACATTTTCCCATAATTCATATTAGGATATCATCAATTTTGGGCAACTTCAAAAAAAAAATTAGGCACACACAAAAAATGCCTTCCTTCAGTTCCACTTGGTGGCATCATAATGTTTAATACATGGGTTTGCATTCATCTATTGTTTAAAAAGTAGAATGGAATATGCTGTAGGTACTGAAATTAGGCTGTGTCAAATATTTAAATGTTTTAGGATGCATCCAGGACTGCCCTGATGTCTGGTAAAATGATTGAATTTGTTTATTTCTCCAATCTATGTTGGTGAGTTAGGGCTGCCATTTTTTCCCAGCCTTAAATGGAGGCAATGGCAAACCCCTTCCGAAATCTTGCAAATAATATTGTAGGGACTAGTCACCAGATCCAAAAATTGGCCTGAAGGCGCAAAATAAAAAGGGTTAAAACAGAACAACTGCAGCAACAATAAGAAACAATAAAAATAATTCCACTGAAATAATTTGAGTCTCAAATCATAAATTTGGGTGGAATTTTATATTTTAAATTATTCATTTCTTCTACTAAGTAATGTGTAGCAATTTGTGTCAATCCACTGCCATTGAGAGGTTTATTTTATGCAATAGGGAAAATGATAATTTCGGTGTAGAAGACCTTCCAGATCAAATCCCACAACTCTGCAGTCTACTATAAGATCTCACAGTCAGGTTTCAGAAAAATCAACAATCCATTCTAGCAAAAAACAACTTCCGGAAGTACATTCAGTTATGGAAAAAACAAACGAAATTCCAGAGAAGGTAATTTTCAATTTTGGTGTACTGCAATTTTATTAATAGAAAAGCTAAATGAATTTTAAGATGAAGATGCTTTTCACATATAATAAGAAATATAGAAATATATAGAAAATCTATTGTCAGAGAGGCTGTTGTGGCAGGGCTAGGCCAGTAGAGTAAACCAGGGATCCCCAATTCCCGGACCGCAGCCCACTACTCGGCTTTGGCCGATTCGGAACCAGGCCATGTGAGTGGCAGGTGAATACACGTGTGCAGCTCCACTTGCGGGAGCAGCAGGTGCTTGCATGCAAAGCTCCATTTGTGCCTGCCACTCGCACAGAACCATTCCCACTCCCCCCTCCTGGCTGGGCTGTCAAGCCGGAAAGGTTGGGGACCCCTCGGTTAAAATGTAGATCTCGATCTACTATCAGGCATGACTTGCTTTGGCCTGTCATCCTATGCCTTTACGTGATATAGATTCAAATCCAGACAAATGAATGTGAATTCTGTCTGGATTACTAGTTTAAATCTTGTGATCATGGGTGGCATCTTAAGAGAAGTGTTTTGGATGAAGTTATTTCTGTCATATAAAGAGTGTGATTACCAGTGAAGGAGTTAGGTTGAAAGTATATCTCTTTACTGTGAATGGAATAGTCTTTGTTGAACTTGCTGGGATTTTTTAGAAGTCTTTATTGGGGCTGGAGTATAAAAGCAACATGGATAGGGAGCAGTATGGTATTAAGAGAGGAGAACTTTGTTCTTAACAGAGTTACGGCATGCACTTATGAAATAGCAATAGCATTAGCACTTAGACTTATACACCGCTTTATAGTGCTTTACAGCCCTCTCTAAGCAGTTTACAGAGTCAGCCTATTGCCCCCAACAATGGAAGGATGGAAGGCTGAGTCAACCTTGAGCCTGGTGGGATTTGAACTGCCAAATTGTAGGCAGCTGGCTGCAGAAGTAGTTTGCAGTACTGCACTCTAACCACTGCACCACAGAGGCCCTTATGAAATGTCTAACAAGGGATATTTTCTCCTCTCCCCTCCCTTCCCCTTCCGAGAGCCAGTTTGGTCTAGGGGTTAAGGCTCCAGGCTAGAAAGTGGGAGACTATGAATTCAAAAGTCCCACCATAATCATGAAAGCTAGCTGGATGACTTTGGGCTAGTCACAGTCCAGCTCAACTTGCAGGGTGATTGTTGTGAAGAAAACAGGAAGAGGATGGTGTAATAAATAAGTTCACCACACTTTTAGATGTGTTACTTGTAAAAATAAGAAAGGCAGGATACAAAAAAAACGACTCTTGGTAGGTTGCCTACTCTGAATAAAGAACAATACTCAGTAAAAACAGAGTAACAGATCACAGTCATCTAGAAGAGAACAGAAACCAAATCAAACAACAACAATAACCAGTAGCCCTCAATTTATGATCACAATTGAATTTTGATTGTAAGCCGTTATAGTCATAAATCGAGTCATCACATAACCAGACTCAGTTTTATAACTATTTGTACAATGGTCATTGAGTTACCATGGTCATTTAGCAAATGTTTTGCTTAATGTCCATGGCAAAACTGCACAAAACATGATCACATGACTATGTGATGCTGCAACTAATAAATGTCAGGCAGCTGCAAAATACTTGACTTGCTATCATATGATTGTGGGAGTGATGCAGCAATCGTAATTTCAAGGATGGATTGTAAATAACTTTATTTGAGTCATCATAACTATGAATGGTTGTTAAGCAACTGATTGTGAGTCAAGGATTATCTGTACTTCAGGGCCAGGGAAAACAGTTAGGTTTTCAGGGACTTTCAGAACATCCATACATGAGTTGACTAGGGCATGATACAGTTGCATAAATATAGGACTATAAGGTATATTGTAACAATATTATGGCAATTATGGAAAAAGATAGCCATTGATCTCATGTGCATTTTTCTTTTTTAACCTCTGTGCAAAATATATAATAATATAATTCCTTTTTTTGAAGTTTACTGTTCCTAAAAAAGAAGAGTTGAGGCCTGCTCAGCGAAAAAGACAGCTTCCAGAATGGATGGTGCCAGCAGATCTAATGGTTTCAACTCAGTCAACTTCAGCCTCTAAAAATGGTAAGTGTAGAGACATATTTGCTATGGAAGTCATCATAGCAGTTGTCTTTCCTAAATTCTCCTTTTGGAGTTTGGAATAATAGAATTTCATTTACTTTTGCTTGAGATTAGACACTGTGTCAACAACAGAATTGAGATATGTAGTGAAGTTACTCCACTGAGGTCAGATAAGACCAGCATAATCAGGATTTTGTACTATGTTGATTATAAAACATTGTTGCTTACAAATATAGGACCAACTAACTAGATTTCTAATTTTTTTTGTTTTCCCAAATTTTGTTCTATTGTACTTTACTAATTTATTTGATTCTTTTTGTTAGTTTTTATTATTTTTATTGTTTTGTTTTAAATATGATTTTACATTGTGTAAACCGCCTCGAGTCGCCATGGGCGAATAGTTGGCAATATAAATTAAATAAATAAGTAAGTAAGTAAGTAATGAGGTGGTAATCAGACAGGTGATAATCCAAAACTAAAACTGCACTTTTTTTTGCTTTGAATGGCGCCAGTATACTTTCCACATTTTTTAGCTTTTATTATAAACCAAGGAGAATGGTTCTGAACATTTGTAATAAAGAGTTAAAATTAGTATGCACTAGTCAGTAATAATTTTTTTAAAGAAATAAATCTCTGACTTTATGAAGAAGACCGGGAGAAGTTTGTCATTATGGTACAGTAAAGTGTAATTTATTCATTCAAACATGCTCTTTGAGTAACTATAGACATACTGCTGAAAATTGTATCTGTTACAATGATGAATGCTTTTTTAATACATGTAAATATTGGTGGAGTAGCGTAACCTATAACAGTATTTCTCTACCTCAACAATTTTAAAATATGTGGACTTTTTAATTCTCAGAATTCCCTAGTCAGCATGAGATACACTGATCTGTAACATATACATATTGTTATACATATAGCTATTACATACATATAGACATATAACTATATTATGTGTATATATGTGTGCATGTTTACACACGCACACACACACACACACACACCAATATATACACATAGTTATAGTTATATGTCTCTATATATGTAATAGTTATATCACCTATATTACACATTGATTTTTGGATTCTTCGACAAAACATTGTTTTGTGCAGACTGAGAAGCATTACATTACATTTCATCTCATATTAGAAATATTCAGTTTTGCACAGTATCTTACAAATCATTAGAATTGGTCTTAAACAGAATTTTGATACATTGTAATTTACTATTTTTAAAACAAGACAATATGAAATCTTTCTAATACGTGCAGTTTTTTATAGCTTAGATTATAAAATTGTTCTGTTCAACAGAGTTTATTTTATTTTTTAAAATTCAAAATAGGTAGCAATGAAGAAGTAAATCCAGGTATAAGTAAAAAGCAGAAAATTCTTGAAAGTGAAGATCCTGTCCTTCAAAAAGAGGTATTCCTTTCTATTTTTTCAATTAATGCTTCATATTATTAATATACTGGGTTTTGCTATTTTGTTCATGGAAATGCATAATACTTATAAGGAAGAACCTTATCAGTAAAGAAGCTATCAAATATCAGGACCAAGAGGGTGGTTTGCTGCAGTCCAAATGGTTCATCTTGTTTTCTATTTCCGAAGCATATAATAGCCAATTCATTTATTTCAAGCATGTTTCTATTTTCTTCCATCTGATGTTTTGTGCTAGTTTTTTTTTCTCATGAAGTCACTGATTGCTTTTCATGCTATTAGAAAAGTCAAAAATGAGATACGTTTAGATACAAGCAGACTCTGTTTTTTTGTTCTAATGCTAGTAATCTCAACGGAAAGGATTAGTGAAAAGGGCTGATGGACCATTGCCCTAGTATCACTGAGAATAGCATCCCATTTCATTTCATATAACTGGTCATTATATTCTTGCAAATACTAGTCCTTAGTGAAGCTGAGAGTTACAAGAATGCTAGTCAATTACTTTTTGACTTACATTTGACTTACTTTTAGGCAGGAAAAATCAAAGGTACAGATTAGGCGAGACCTGGCTCAAAAACAGTAACTGTGAGAGGAACCTTGGAATCCTAGTGGATGATCATTTGAATATGAACCAGTAGTATGCAGCCGCCGCCTAAAAAGCTAATACAATCCTGGATTGTATAAACAGAGGCATAGACTCACGATCACATGAAGTATTAGTGCACTTTACCCTAGTAAGACCACACTTGAATACTGCAACCAATATTGGTCACCATACTACAGAAAAGATGTTAAGACTGTGGAAAAAGTTCAGAAAAGGGCAACTAAGATGATCAAAGGCCTGGAGATTAAACCATATGAAAAATGACTGCAGATTTTGGGTCTGGTTAAGTCTAAAGAAAAGAAGAATTAGGGGGTGACATGAAAGAAGTATTTCAGTATTTCAGGGGCTGCCACAAAGAAGAAGGGGTCAAATTATCTAAAGCACCAGAGGGCAAGACAAGAAATAATGGTTGGATACTGATCAAAGAGAGAAGCATGGAATTAAGGAGAAACTTCTTAACAGTAAAGACAATTAATCAGTGGAACAATTTGCCTTCAGAAATCATGGGTGCTCTTATCACTTGAGGTTTTAAGAGACTGGATAGTCACTTGTCTGATACTGTATAGGTTCTCCTGCTTGAGCAGGGGGCTGGACTAGAAGACCTCCAAGGTCCCTTCCAGATTCTATTCTGTTCTGTCCAAATGTCATAGTTCTCATGGCTCTATGATGCAGACATATGTCTGAGTGGCCAGGTAATTTTTGTTATTATTGCTTTGATAATTTAAGGTTAAAATAGTGTCATGAAGTCTATAAAATATAGTACCCTTAATAAGATTTATATCCAAATGGTGCCATTTTGGTCATATCTTTTTGGTAACTGGATCCAAGAAAAGCATCTCAGTTGAGAAGGGAATTTGAGAACCACATTTCCCTCAAAGTGGCAAGTCCACATTAATTTTAATAGTTCTGCAGTGCAGATAAGAGAGTCCTCATTTAAGGATTGCCACATTTTCAGTTCTTAATACTATCTAGTCACGAGGGCGCACTTTGGGTTGTGTATTTTTCAGCACATATTAGAAACATGTATGGCCGATATTGGAACTTTAAATGTCCAAACTTTTGTTAGCTAGTGGGAATTATTCTTGAAATTATTTTTGCGTATTGCTAATTAGGCACTCCAATGACTTCCCTTTTCTGTTTGTTCCTTGAACTAAATTCTGGTTGTGACTACTCTCTTCTATCCAAATTCATTTTTTAATCTCAGTTTCCAGATCTTACTGTCAAAATCAGTCTCCTTTCTCATAATTCACACTATTTTGCTCAGGTTTATGATTTTACCATCTTGTTTTTGCGGGGGAGGGTGTTTGCTAATTTTCAACTTTCTTTTAATTCCTACATTTTCCCTTAATATTGTTATCCTTTATTCTCTAGCATTCATTGTCCTCATAATTGTTTTTCTTTGTGTACATAAAATCCATGAAGCAGAGACCTGTCTAATTTTATTATGTCATGATTAATTAATCTATCTTAGTTAAACTATTTTCACATAAATAACAGTAAATTATAATCTGTTTCATGAACAATTTCATACCAATTTCCACATGATATAGGGGTTATTTACTAAAGATGTTGCGAAGAAGATGCCAAAGAATGGAAATAAAAAAATATCTCAGAAAGCTGAAAGTTCGTTTGAGCAATTTAACAATCAGCTGGATGATGAAGAGCTAGACCTGGACCTCAAGTCAGATGGACAAGCATCTCAGCCTGCTCAAGTACATTCAACAAATACAAAAGAAAACAAATTGGAGAATATTAACTCTAAACCCAGGCAGATTTATAAGGAGAAGCCATCACAATCATTACTCGATCAGGGTGATATTCAAGAGACTACTCTGAACCAGGCTGTTGGAATAGATACGTCAAATATAATGGAAAGTCAAGAGATGCAACAGAGTTCTCACATAAACAAACCCCAGAGGACTGCTTGCCAGTATGGGAAAAGCTGCTACAGGTAAAATCAAGTTGTTAAACTTCTAAATGGCAATTTACTGGTGCATAGCCATATAATCTGTGGACAGCGGGGTTCTTTTTATTTTATTTATATTTAAAATCTAAGCTGTTAACAGACTGTATTTTGCTTCTGTTAAATACTTTGCTGAGTTAGTGCAAAAATAACTGTATAGCATTTAGACTTATTTATTGGTCCAGAGTGCTCTCTGAGTGGTTCACAAATGTCAGCATATTGCCTCCAACAATCTCAGCCCTTATTTTATCAATCTTGGAAAGATGGGAGGATGAGTCAACTTCGAGCCGGTCAGGATTCAACTTCTGGCTGTGGGCATATACTACACTGTAACCATTGTGCCACCAGGGCTCCTATAAGGCACTAACAATCGTACAGCATGGGAGTTCGGCATGCTTCCATTTGTTTCTGTTGAGTAATGCTGTTCACCTCACATTTTTAAAACAGATATTTAAGTTCTATAATAATAATAATAATAATAATAATAATAATAATAATAATAATAATAATAATAATAATAATAATA